AGCTGTTTGTTGTTTTTTGTCCTCTAGCGTCGTTCAGTGCCTTGCACGACCAAACCAGACTGCCAGAGTTGAGCTTGATACCGCGCCGCTAACTGGTGCTTTTTTTTTCTCTTGGTGGGTTGGCACGTTCCTGTACGTGGTTGCTGGTGATGAAAATCACCAAACTATAATCGTGGCGTGATACTTTCACCGCACTGCTGTACAGGATAAACGTAGTCTCCCTTGTGATCCCCCGACCCCCAAAAATCGACCGGCCAGTAATCAAAAGCTTGGACCCCGGGAGGATCGTTGAAAAAAAAAAACTTCCCCCTCTCGTCCATTTTTTTTGTTCCCCCGGCAGAGCGATGAAAAAGGAAACAGCAGCAGTGTTCCCCCCGCCGGGACCACCAAGCAAATAGCGGTGTTCTTGAAGTACATGGTAGCTTTGTCTCGATCGTCTCGTTCGACAACCGCGACACACGTACCAACATTTTTTTTTGTCTTTTTTCCCCGTGTGTGTTGACAGCCCCGTCCAGGTAGAAACTGTGACGATGGCGAGAGTACGCGACGCGCCCGAAGGGGGGGGCGCATCTACTGGGGGAGGCGACGACGACGACGTCGTTGAGGGATGGGCAACCGGTTCGGACCCGCTGTTCTGGGCAGCAGTTCGAAGCACGGCGGATGGCAAGGAGGACGTCAAGCACGTGCTAGTTCACGGCGAACTTCGGGCCGAGGGGGGGGAACGTGGCTGCACGCGTGTACCGGTGGACAAGAGCGACTTGGTGATGCGCGATGGCAAGGGGGACTACAGCTTGGTGCCCGATCTTCAAGTGCGCGACTTGTACGTGGCGAAGAAGAAGAAGGAGGAAGCGCTTTTCTGGCCAGCCCGGCGGATCGTGGATGGAGAGACGGAGTACAAACACGTGCACGTCCACGACGGCGAGCGTCCCTGCGGAGACTGCGTGCGGATAAAACCGAACGCTCTCAACGTCTCACTGCGGTGCGAGTGCCGCGACTGCAAACGCAAGCCGTTTGACAGCTCTTCGCGGGTCCCTTTCAACCCGCGTGACCTGCTGGGGCGGGACGGGCGAGGGGATTTCTGCTTGGTGCCCGACCACGAGGTCCTCGCCCTCTACTTTCACGACGAGACCACGGCGAAGGAGAACGACGACGGCAGCAACCAGTGGGTGTCGGTGTTGAAGGGCGCCGCCATCAACAAGAAGGGGGAAGGACGCGCCGCGCACATCTCTGACATCATTGGGGTGGATAGAGGGGTCGCAGCGATAGGGAAGGAGGCCTGGGGCATGATGCAGGAAGACATGAACGTGGTCGAAGATAAGGAGAACCCGGTTGAGGTCGCGCGGCCGGCTCCCAAGGACGGGGAGGCGCCGACGCATCGGGTGTTTCCCGGACGCTACGAGCGTTCCGGGATCTACTTCGGCAGGAAAGAGGGCGAGGGGAAGGACGGCCATGCCGTGAAGCTCGTGCAGGATGCCGTCGAGCTGCTGAAAGGGATTCCCGGCGCCTGCCAGGTGAAGAAAACGAAGAACGACCCTTCCACGGCGGCGGTCATCATGACTGTAGGGCAACACCAAGACGGGTACTGGAACTGCGCACGGATGTTGGAGCAAATTCCGGGGCTCATCGCCATCCACGAGCTGACAAGCGAGCCACACCGGCAGCTGGTCATGGTCTTCGACAACTCTACCGGGCACTCGGCGTTCGGCGCCGGCACATTGGTGGGTGAGCACGTTGCCCTGAGGCCAGGGGGAGCGCAGGGCGCTCTTCGCAATTTCGAGGACGACGAGGGGAACCCCGTGCACACCACCTTCAGGGTCGGCGACAAGCTCCGTTTTACCACGAACGTGTNACACCAAGACGGGTACTGGAACTGCGCACGGATGTTGGAGCAATTTCCGGGGCTCATCGCCATCCACGAGCTGACAAGCGAGCCACACCGGCAGCTGGTCATGGTCTTCGTCAACTCTACCGGGCACTCGGCGTTCGGCGCCGGCACATTGGTGGGTGAGCACGTTGCCCTGAGGCCAGGGGGAGCGCAGGGCGCTCTTCGCAATTTCGAGGACGACGATAGGAACCCCGTGCACACTACCTTCAGGGTCGGCGACAAGCTCCGTTTTACCACGAACGTGTTTGCCCCGAAAACGGAGGAGGAGCTCGAGGCGGAAAAGAAAGC